TGTCAATGAATTGTTCTCGTAAGGAGATATTTATCATATATCTCTAAGAAATTTGACCCATATATGATTTCTAAACTGAATATGAAATAATGCTCCAATTATGCTTTGCGCGTTAGAGTTTAAGGTTTAATATAGTTTATGGTTTGCAAAGGACAACCTTTTTTGAATTAGCTGTATACAATAAGTATAATTGGGAAATAATGGGAAGGCGATTATACTCTTTATATAGAAACAGCATACGACATTCCTTGCGTATGCAAGATTGCTTTCACTTCCAAGCCATTTTCTGCTTAATTCGGAAACACGAATGTACATTCTGGATATGGTGTATACCAAAGTATATGCATGGACATAGTCGGAAAGTATTTAAAAAAACAACGTTAGGAAAGGAATGCCACTGAGAAAACAATACAAGCATATATTATTTTGAGTGTACTTATAATCATCATGTTGTATAACTCGGAGATACTTTATAGAAATTTCTCGAAACCATCTTTCCATAAATTGTTCAATGTGTCAATATATGTCTTGACGTGCTTCGATTTATCTAGTTATGTCAAGCACTCGTCGTCGGTTATGTCTTTGAAAGCAATTTATACTGTCACTAATTTTAGAACAGTGACTGCTCGATCGTGTGAAACCTCTTTAATTATTTTCAGTGGGGTATTTTGGACCAACCTGGCGTTTAGAGAAGGCTTCAAAGCTTGGAAATATGTCATCTCTATACGACTCTACCACCTACTGTCAAACGAAATGGAAATATGTTTCTGTATATAAGTATAGAAAAGAGTATCAACCTACTGTTTATTTGGAGGTTTTCGGTTTTCGAAGGGGTCAAACGTTTTTATTGCGACATAACTTCCGTGATTTTAGTCATATAATGCCGGGCAATTATAAACGCCAACTGTGGATTGGATATATATCTCATGTATAAAGAATGTTACATACATCTTCCTATTAAACCTTACCTTCCTAAACGATCATTTTACATTCATGTCATGATGTTTTAATTCTCTGTCGAAACTAAACCCACCATTACAGAACATTAGAACAGTACAAATAAACATGCATTCTATTCGCTATCTCCGCTGTTCGCTTTGAAATAGTGAAACAATGAGAACAAAAACGATCTTTGTTTTTAAGGCTCCATAAAATCGTTCTAAATTTAAGTGGCGTGCACTATGCATGCAAATATTCAATTTATTTGATTAATTTAATTACAAAAATCAGAAGACACTGAAAATGTGCTAGAACAAAAATTACTTAATGGATATTCCGACTGTATATACGTATGAGTGAAACACAAACGTTGAAGAGCTCAAATGCACGCTTTGACGCTTCTAGTCTATCTAGACTCTAGCAGCAATTATTAACCGCAGCAGCAATTATTGCTTTATATAGGACCTATATTTTTTGTCGCGAAGTATCTATAATAATATTGCTATCTCAGCATTGCTCATATTTAAACGCACACTGCCAAAACCTCTTCAATTAAGACAGAGCCGTACGCCAGATTTTTTACCAGAGGGGGGGGCATGCAGTAAGACATATATGCCGAAAAAGGGTCCAAATACCCAAGGAATAATGATAATGTCATTCTAATAATCGTAAATATAGTTTTCTCTACGGGGCCGTCCCCCCCCCCCACGTCCCTCCCTGTGTGCGGCCCTGAATTAAGATTCTGTTTTGATAGACTATAAACAGCAGCTGTTTAGTATATCAAAACAAGTGCTACAATAATATAATATAATGGTTGATAATTATCAAAACTATACATATACAAAAAACAGTATAATAGTGAAACAGTGGGAAGGCGAATTGCTCTTTAGAGAAACGTTATACGACATTCCTTGCGTATGCAAGGTTGCTTTCACTTTCAAGAATATTTTCTGATTAATTCGAAACACGCGAATGGACATTTTGGATATCGTGTATGAAATTTAGAAAAACAAAGTATATATATGTATGTAGTCGGGAAATATTTAAAGAACGACGTTAGGAAATGAATGCCAAAAAACAATATATAGCTAGCTACAAGCATATATTATTTTGAGTGTATACTTATAATCACCATGTTATATAACTGAGACACTTGAGAAATTCCTCGAAACCATCTTTCCGTTCACATAAACTGTTCAATAAGTCAATATACAGTATATCTTAACGTGCTTGCTTGGATTTATCTAGTTATAATAAGCAATCAGTCGTTGCTATAGTTGAGGCTGATAATTCGCTGTATAAGGTTATTTTAACGACTAATTTACATTCTATAGAGACGCCGTCTTCGGTTATGTCTTTGAAAGCGATTTATGCTGTTACTATAATTTTAGGATAGTAGGCCTATAAGCTCGATCGTGTGAAACTTCCTTAAAGTTAAACTAAACTTCACATATTTTTATTTCGTTTGACATGCAGTATAGGTGGTCATGAGATGACATGTTCATTAAAATGCTTTTGAAAATGCATATGATCCATCATTTCAAACAGAACGTTGTACCATAATGTAGAGAAGTATAGAAAAGAGTATATATCAACTTGCTGTTTATTCGGGTTTTTCCGATTTTCAAACGGGTTCCAAATTACGTTGTTATTGTGACATGACTTCTGTGATTTGGTGATTTTATCGCCGGGAAATTATACGCCGACTATAGATTGGATACACATATATCTTATATAAGGAATGTTACATACATCTTTCTATTACTTTCTATTAAACCTTACCTTTCTAAACGATCATTTCAGATTCATGTCATGATATTTAAATTCTCTGTCGAAACTACCCACCATTACAGAACAGAAGAAATAAACGTTATGCGAGGAATTTACCACGAGTGTCATTTTGCTATCCCCGCTGTTCGCTTTGAAATAGTGAAACAATGAGAACAAAAAGAGCTTTGTTGCATGTAAGATTGATCAGATCATAGACTTTCCCAAAGTCCTTTCCATAAGATCCATAAAATCCTTGCAAATTTAAGAGGTGTATAAGCACAGAATACTACACAGAAGTCCATCTCCATTGTTTTTTGCGTAAGCGTTATTCGTCATGATTCGTCACTCAGCAAGTACCGTAAACAGAAGCAGTCACCCCCCTGGACGTTCGCCATTTTTAGTATTTCCAGGGGGGGACTGCTTCTGTTTACGGTACTTGCTGAGTGACGAATCATGACGAATAGCGCTTACGCTAAAAACAATGGAGATGGACTTCTGTGTAGTATTCTGTGGTATAAGTAAAAGGGCAACATGCATGCAAATAGTCAATTTATTTAATAACAAACATTTTCAGGGTGTTATACAGTAGCTACAGTAAAAAATTCGGCGTTATTCGCCGTTTTCACAATCACGTTTAGCCAGCAATTTCACAATTTAGATCAACCAGGAACCTAACTGTTATATATATTAAATATTATACATATCAACTTCAAATGCCCGCAGATAAGTGTTGCGAGGATATCGTCTAAAATATATATTTGTCTTTTTTTGGTACACAACTGACAATGTCAGGTGACTTGCACTTCAAAGTTTCAATTTAGCTCAGCTGACGCTTGACCACGAGAACGTGACTTTTAAGAAACACGATATTCCTCAACTCTGCATGGTCTGGGCTAACTGAAATTCATAATTTCATTAAATTTCCGAATTTTATAATAATCTTCTGGCTAACACCCTAGTTTTCAAATGCGTCTTAGATACTGTTCTCTCATGAAACATTTGAAGCCTTTTAAATTTTCAAAACATGCACTATACATGTCCGCGAAAAAGTTTGCTTGGTTAGTGCTCCAGTAAAAATGTAGATCTCCAATAAGGTACATATTATATAGTTGGTTATAACCGAATTAATGCCCAGAGTTTTGAAACGATTCATTAAATTCCCCCACTGAGAAAGTTATAATATTTTACCCATTCCAATTAGGGCTCATACGTATAGCATTTAGTGATTTAGGTATTGTTAACAATGTATCTTGCTTGATACTGGTTCTGACAATCCAACCGTATTTTGACTATGCTCTTCCTTATAAGAGAACGGCGTCTGCAAAACGTCTGTTTCGTCTCGAGGGTACTCAACGTCGAGCTCCTAAGTTTATTCTTCAGGACTATGAATCGTCATACTTTAATCGCTTGAAAAAACTTAATTTAATCCTCTTTCATACTGGCATGAAATTAAAGATACAGCATCATGTTCTTCTATACAAATGCAAATACGGGATGTACGAACTTGACATTAATCAGTTTATTACCCAGCCTCTCCATCATCCCACCTGTTCCAGTTCTGGTGATTTTCTTCGTCCAAATCTGTTTAAAACGTCTCCCTTCAGAAACTCGTACTTTAACAGAGTTGCACTTTTACGGAATAACTTGCCTTTAGATATCAAATCATCCTCTTCCGTCTCTATACTTAAATCTAAACTATATCTATATTATACAAATTAACTTAACAATACTTTCGATGTAGACCGTCCTAGAACTTGGAAAACTTTGTGTAGTAAATGTCGTTCTTTGCAGTCAAACTGCTGTTCATCAATCCAATTCCTATATGATTGTTATTAATTAATTTAAGTATTTTTGTAATATGTATATGTACTGTAATATTGTAATCATGTAATTCTCCGGTGGGACTTAATTAAGAACTTGTGATCTGTTGTTCGGACAATCAATCATATACGATTCTAAAGTTAATAAAACCGTGTAGGAAGAATGATATAGCTTGGCCAATTATGAAATCTGACCTGCTATACGGTGGCCGAGAGCTGCCAAGTCCGTACGTTTTCAAATTAAAATAAATTATTAAATAATATTACAATAAAAACAATTTACAATACATTTTAAAATGATTTCAAAATCATTTTTATATGATTCTCGAATAAAAAAGTTTTTATATTAAAACAAAGCACTGTTCATTTTAATATGTGTTTAAAAAAAAGAATTGTTATCCACGTGGCCGAGAACTGCCAATTGCCAAATATAATTGTTGTAAAAGTTCCCCGATGTCCATGACTAAAAACATGGCGGAAATTGCAAAATGGAGAAAGTTTGAAAATGCTATTAAAGCGAAACGAACGAATGTGGCTATAAACAATAACAGTAAATCAGGTGGTAAGGTATTAAACAATGGTGGTCAATGTGATGTTTCTATTTTGGAAAGAAAGGAACTGACTGTACAACCATTGACAACAGAGGCGACTGGTAAAGCCAAAAAATATGAAAGAACAGACCCACAAAAATTCGTCAACTTTCGATACGAACCAGACTGCAGAGTGGGGCAGTTTTCAACAAGATCTTGGTTGCACAATCACACCGCACTTGAAGTGCGGGTGCGCAAAACTGCCAAAAATGCTCAGCTGCGCATGCTCAAGTGCTCCATGAAAAAGTTGAAATGATTGAAAGGGTTGAGTGGCACCTAAGTTCACATGTGTATTTATCAATACCTGTACGTCTTAGTATGTAGTCCACGTAATTAAAAATGCATTAAACACGATGCGTTAATCAACTGAGTGAACTGACTGAGGTATATTGCCTGTACACTGGAGTTATATTTGAATATATTTAGCTCAGTGGCACTTCATATTAGGACTGTATTGAGCAAGTCTTATATGTAACAACCTATTCTAATGATTTCTGTGTGTGTTGGTGTTGTGTACTCAGGTGAATATGATGTTTGTGATTTTACTCTGAGTGTGCATCTACACCGGGCAAGCTAAAAAGTTTGCCTGACCACGGTGGGAATCGAACCCGCGAACTTTGGGATACTAGCTAGTCCTCTCTATAATTTTGAAAGTTCTCGAGCGATGTGTTCTTCCTGACATGCGAGATCACTTGGTGGTCTTGATCAACAACTCCCAACATTGGCAACATGGTTTTATTATTCCAGGAAAATCTTGTACTTTCCAGCTGCGGTAGAAGGGCATGACTATGTAGGATCTTTACTGGACGCTGGTAAACAAACTGACGTGATCTACATGGATATGTCCAAAGCCTTACAAAATTCCAAAGCCTTTACAACGGCTTTGGAATCTCTGGTAGTTTACTCGGTTGGTTCTCCTCCTACTTATTGAAAAGAAGGCAACGTGTGACTGTTCTAGGGGCTACATCATCAGAAAAACCTGTAATGTCTGGAGTTCCCTCAAGGTTCTATCCTGGGTCCAATACTCTTCCTCCTTTATGTTAACAGCCTGCCTCATGTAGTGAATAATGCAAAAGTAGTTTCTTTTGCTGACGATACAAAATTATTCAAGTGTGTCGATCCTCACATATACGGTGCCTCGATTCAAAGTGATCTTGATAATCTTGAGGAGTGGTCGACTTCTTTGGACTTGTATTAAATACTAAATTGAAGCAAAGCTATAAATTGCGGTTAATGGAGTAATATGTTCTAGAAGTCACAACTACCTTGGTAGAACAAGAGAACCGTTTTCTAGTCCTGTTAATATTACAAATTATCAGATAAAATCGAATTTTTTGCTACTAAGCATGTGAACAACTGATGCAAACTTGGGATTAGCCAATCAGAGAGGTTTTCCCTTCACTTTGTAAAAGCTGCCTTCCCTAAGGATTAAGATGCAATCCTCTAGAATTCAAATCTGCAGCTTCTATATTAGAGTTTGTTACAAAGTCCAAGTTATTCTGGTTGCATAAAGATTTAATTAATCTATTTGTTTCGCTTACCCTATCTGAAGGCTTTAACATCGGTCAGTTCTTGTTAAATTCCCAGAAACAATTATATCAATACCAGGACACTGTTGTTCAATCTTGTGCGCCAAATCAATTACACCATGAGCAACAACCTGCGATTCAGCACGACGTAGGTCGTTGGTTCCTATATGCAGCACGAGTTGATCTGGTTTCTTACGCAGAATTGGATTTATAAAATCATACATATCTTCTAGATTAGAACCAGAGAATGATTTAACTGTGACTCGCTGGGTAGGATTTGACAATTTCGAGCCCTTTACGTACTTGATGATGGAATCTCCAACAATAACGGTATTACGCTTTGCCCTAATAAATGTCGTCCCAATTTTTCCCGAACTCGACTATATTGTGCAGTATTTCATGCTTTTTCCAATGATGTACAGTAAATTGGGGCACAAGCTCACCAACGTCGAAACGACAAGGATTAATAAGGTGCTAATTGCTTTGGCGCTTTCGACCAATCCAAAAACAAATGATTTCGGTACAAGCCCGTTAAAGACGTTATCTTTCCTCAGGAAGGGATTTCCTGCTGGAATAATGAAACTCTTGCCCTTAACGCGAAGAATAGGATACATAGCCGATTCTTTTTTCAATGCAACTTCATGATCCATGGAAATGCTTGGATTAACTTTCACCTTGCGTATCATGAGATAGGCATCGATCAGCTTTACCCTGTAATCAACATCGTTCTCAGAGGCCATCAGACATAACTCGTTACCATTTCGATTCAGAATAACATTCAGGTCTACAAAACTCAGCAGGAGATGTTCTGAAAAGAACATATCACTAAATATAGGTCCAACAATTTCAATAGTTCCACTTTCTTCGCTGAATCCATATCTTGTATTAAGACCGTGGTTGACATCGCCAACTACCTTAGTATGGCCCGAGACTTCCATTTTCCCTGCAGTATCTTTGTAAAACAAAGCTACAGTGAGTTGAGATTGCTCTGCTGATGGACAACAGTTTAGGAGGGTTTCCAGATATGCTCGGTAACTGTAGGTACCCGTCGCCTGCGTAACTTGCTTTTCTTTCAGAAATACGTCGACTTGTTTGACAGGCTGTGCATGAAGTTGTTCACAACTCCAACCTCTTCGTCTGCATCAAGATTAGCGCCATTAGCTTTTGTCACTTTTGCTCTTACCACAATAATTGCTTTAGATAAATCGACATAATCTTCAGTGTCTGTAGATAGGAACGTGATTGGACTTCCGTCTGACAAACTAGACACAGATCTATGATCGATCCAATGCCCTTTTTCTAAACTGATCTGTGTTGAATAAACAGAAAAGAGATCAACTTCAGTGTTCATGCCTTCTTGTGACTGGAAATGGACCAAATTCATTATTTTCCGAATATGTTGTTAACGTGAGTTGTTTTCCGTTTCTTGGCTTACCTGCTTCTGCCAATAGGAGCCGTTGCCTTTCTCTTTTTAACTGTTTTCTTTGCATGTTTTCCGCTTCCTGTTTTCTTCACACGTTTTCCACTTCCTGTTTTCTTCGCACATTTTCCACTTCCTGTTTTCTTCGCACATTTTCCACTTCCTGTTTTCTTCACACGTTTCCTGCTTAAAAGAATACCGAATGGTTTTCCGTGCAGGATTGCGTGATCCATGCACGCGGGATGTTGCGAGACTTTCGGAAAGCGTGAAAATACACGAGCCGTAGGCGAGTGTATTTTTATGCTTTCCGAAAGTCGAGCAACATCCCAAGTGCATGGATCATGCTATCCTGCACGGGAAAAGCATTTGGTAATTGTTTTATAAAATTACTACCGTGAAACGACGGTTAACTTGATTAAAATTACTGATGAAATGTGCAGTTCTCACAACAATCGTGAATTAACCAATCGGAGAATCGCTACTCCACGTCGCTATTGAAGACAACAACAAATGTGAATAGAATTTGATCGCAAATTCGCGAAAATATACCGCGAAAATACAGAGACTTTTCGATAAAATATACGAAATTTGAAATGCAAATCCGCTAAACAGAGAGCCAAAGTAGCTTTGAAGATTCTCGACCTGAATATTTGAAGATTGCGAAGCGTTTGAACTTTGAAGCGATTCAAGCGAGAGATGTTGTACTTGCCATGGTCTGATGAATTTCAACGCTGAACAGCAATGTATCCATCAGAAATTTATTCATACAACTAAACCGAGGTCTCAATAATTGCAAACTTACTTCAAAGTCGAAAGGTATCGTACAATGAAACTTTACAATGCGAGTATATTTGTAAAACTATGTGCAAGAATTTCTGTTCAGAATTTCCCGTGCAGGATTGTCTGATCCTGCACGGCTGTTGACCAATCAAATTGCGTGTTTCACTGTAGTTATTATATAATCCTCTATTCTTCACACGTTTCCAACTTCCTGTTTTTTCACACGTTTCCTGCTTCCTGTTTTCTTCACTTTCCCACTTCACGTGTTCCTGTTTTCTTCACACGTTTCCCACTTCCTGTTTTCTTCGCACGTTTCCCGCTTCCTGTTTTCTTCGCACGTTTCCCGCTTCCTGTTTTCTTCGCACGTTTTCCGCTTCCTGTTTTCTTCGCACTTTTCCCGCTTCCAGTTTTCTTCGCACGTTTTCCGCTTCGTCCTACATGCAAAAAAGACTGCCCTCATGCTGGAAACAAGCTAACATTACACCTATTCCGAAAGAGAAACCTGTTAAAGACACAAGCAAACAGCTCCGACCTATCTCGTTAACTCCGGTTCTATCCAAGCTTGCAGAAGATTTTGTTGTTGAAAAATATATCGCTCCAGTCAATTGATCCTTTTCAATTTGGTGGAATCCCTCGATCATCCGCTACAAAAGCCTTAATATCTATGGTTCACACGTGGACTCAAGCCACAGATGGAACTGGAAACGCTGTAAGAGTGATTCTTTTTTACTATAAAAAGGCCTTCAACTTGATTGATCATAAGATCTTAGCCACGAAAATCATCCCATTGCCAACGCCAACTTTCATTAGGCGGTGGGTAATTGATTTTCTGATGAACAGACATCAACGGGTGAAACTTGCAAGAGACTGTATATCTGAATGAATTGACATTCCTTCCAGTGTCCCTCAAGGAACCAAATTGGGACCTTGGTTATTCATCCTAATGATAAATGACCTAGCCCCCCACATCATGAGCGATTGAAATACATCGATGATGCTACGGTATCTGAAATTATTCACATCAACACACCCAGTAATATTCAAGATACAGTCGATTGTGTTCAAAATTGGTCTGTAGAAAACAAGATGCAATTAAATGCCTCCAAGTGCAAGGAACTTGTTATCAGTTTTACAAAACCTGAGAAAGAATTTCCGCGTCTCAAAATCATCTCAGGTCAAATCGAGACAGTGAACCAGGCAAGATTCCTAGGTTTGACAATTTCTAAAGACTTAAAATGGAACCAACACATAACTAACATAATTAAGAAGGCGAACAAACGCATTTATTTTGTTATTCAGTTGAAACATGCTCACGTACCTGAAGCTGATATAATAAATTTTACACTATACCTGCGTCAGACCAGTCATGGAATTCAGTTGCCAAGTTTTTCACTTCGCCCTTCCTTCCTACTTATCTAATTTCCTGGAACGTTTTCAAAAGCGTGTTTTATCAATCATCTATCCACTGACAGGTTATGCGGCTTGTTTACAAAAATCGGGCATCAAGCCATTAAGTGACACGCGTGTGGATATATATGCTCGGCATAATGACTAACATACCTTTTGACTTCTTTCCACATTCTTTAGTTTCCAGAAAACTTCAATGATATGCAAGACAAAAAATCAAGGCCATAGATGACTATTAAAGATCGCGGGCATGCAAACTCTTGGTGCAAGGAATAAATAGAAACAAGGAGAGCGTATTCTAACTAGCCACAAGCTCGCAAAAACGAGAGATAGGTGCCAAAGTCACCAAACGTTGGTCTGCATGTAGTTCCTTTGATGAGTTTAAAAAGAAAGCTTGTGTTTAAACTGCCTTAGATAAAACATGAATGGAAAGTATAACTTATTTTTTTCCGCTATTAGCTTTTTCCCGCTACTTCCGCTGATGATTATAACGGCAACCCGAGCTAATTATCCGCGCCAGTGACGATTACAGGCAAGCTGTCAAAGTTATTGAATTGGCTCGTTCGAAACAGTTTATTAATAGTATAGCACTCAAATATGGCCGTCTAAGCGGCCGAATACATGGAGAATTTTCAACCCCGGGGTTGAACTCAGCCCTGTTTACCGGGTTGAAATTTCAGCCCTGTCTGTAATACAAAACTCTATCAAAATCAAACGCGCGATACATGACAAAATTTTCAACCCCGGGCTGAGTTCAACCCCGGGCTTGAAATTTCAACCCTGCTTCGGCTAACAGGGTTGAAATTTCAACCCAGGGGTTGAACTCTGCCCTGGGTTGAAAATTTTGTCATATAATCGTTTCAACCCAGGGCTGAAATTATCATGACTTATCAGATCATACGTGGTAGTGACTATTTATTAGAAGAAAACAAAATAAAGGCTTTTTTACTTCCGGGAATCTATGCCGAGAACGTATAGTACAGCGTTTCAACCCCGGGGTTGAAATCGTCCATACAATCGCAAAAAATTTCAACCCGGTTAACAGGGCTGAGTTCAACCCTGGGCTTTAAAGTTCTCCATGTAATCGGCCCCTAATATAGCGCTTAAACGTTTTACAAATTGTAGAATTAGATTTAGAAAGCTGTATATGTCCTTTAGATCATGGTAAAAAAGATATTTCCTTGAGATAAAGAGCTAATTTAAGCACCCAGCAAACTTTATATTTTGTAAAGAAAAGCTTTAGGGATCTGTTATCATTAAAATTATTCCGGCTTCAAAAATCGCTCGTCGAATTCATAACGAAGCTCCAGACTCATTCTAGTGGTTCTCATATGTCGGCGATGACTTCCTATAGAAATATTATCATATGTATTGATCATTAAGTAAAATCCTTTGCCTATAGCAAGTCTGCCAAGAAGACGCCAACAAGTTGTGTTCGCACTGCTTGACCCAAGTTGTCAACAAGTTTAGAACAAGCTGTTAACAACTTGTAACAAGCTTGATGGCATTAGCAGATCTAGACTTATTGCAAGTTTGCTCAAACAATTAACAATTAGACAACGACGCCGAGTTGTCTATGAGCGAATAGTCAACGAGGCGAAGTTGAGTTGACTATTCGTTCGGAGACAACGAGGCTGAGTTGTCTAATTGTATTAGTGTAAACCACATAAAGAAAACGGAATTTTTCACTTGATTTTTATGTAAAATAATAACGTTTTAACGAAATGAGCGTTTAAATGGCTTCTGGCTTTAGCGACATTTCGCCTCGGCTGTGTTGACAACTGCTCAATGTTGCGAACTCCCAAGATCGAATGACTTGAAAAATACAACTTGTGAGTTTTAAAAAAGTTAAAAAACATGTCGTAAAACAGTATAATAGTAAAAGATTTTACGTTAAAAAGCCGAATAAAAATGCACACACATGCAAAAGAATCCGATTATCCGAATGTCGTTGAAATCTTTAAAATATCTGGAAGATAAAGAGGCAAACCATTTCCATAATCTAGTATACATATACAATAGTTTAGATTCAAATTTAATCGAAAAACTCGGCTCTAAAAGGCGAAAAATAAACTCGTCCAAAATCTCAACATTTAAAAAAAAAACCTCTTTAAAATGACAGCTAAATACATGAACTCGAACTTAAAACAAGCATACACTAAAGAGGTTGAGAAAATAGGGGTAAATAGCTACAATGTATTGTTGAATTTCAACGATTCTGCTTGGAATATTTTAAACAAACATTGACATTGTGCATATATTTAAAAAAATCGCCTGTCATGTTCAAAACTACGAGCAAAGTTAAGAAAACTTTAAAATTTTACCACATGTGTAAGCAGTTTCCAAGAGTCTTTGTCTGTGTGTAATCCAGAACCAAAATTAGGCCATTTTGATAAGATTTTTCCCTTTAAATGCAGCTTTTAATGCTTAAAAATGGCCACGTAGGCTATCACTATGTAATAGCCTACTAGTAGCGTAGCCAATCAGAACGCACGATACATGATAGCCTACTAGTAGGTTTAAACTAATTAACAATTAGACAACGAAGCCCGCGGGTTGTCTATGAGCGAATAGTCAACGAGGGGAAGCCGAGTTGACTATTCGTTCAGAGACAACGAGGCTGAGTTGTTTAATTGTTTTAGTATAAACTACATAAAGAAAACGGAATTTTTCACTTGATTTTTATGTAAAATAATAACGTTTTAACGAAATGAGCGTTTAAATGGCTTCCTTTGGCGACATTTAACCTCGGATGACTAGAAAAATTTCGCCAAGAATGACTAGAAAAATACAACTTGTGAGTTTTAAACAAGTTAAAAAACATGTCGTAAAACAGTATAATAGCAATAGACCGTTATAGAAGCAATGTTTGGTTAATTAAAAGAAGGAAACAAGGCTTAAAAAGTCCAAAATTTCGAACACAAAATGGCTTCCCGAATTGTTACTAAATTAGTAAATAAAGTTTACGTTAAAAAGCCGAATAAAAATGCACACACATGCAAAAGAATCGGATTATCCGAATGCCGTTGAAATCTTTAAAATATCTGGAACATAAAGAGGCAAACCATTTCCATAATCTAGTATACATAGACAATAGTTTTTAGATAAAAATTTAATCGAAAAACTCGACTCATGCAAAAAGGCTCGAAAAGGCGAAAAACAAACTCGGCCAAAACCTCAACATTTAAACGAAAAAAACTCTTTAAAATGACAGCTAAACACATGAAATCGTACTTAAAACAAGCAGACACTAAAGAGGTTGAGAAAATAGGGGTAAATAGCTGCAAAGTATTGTTGAATTTCAACGATTCTGCTTGGAATATTAACAAACATTATATTGTGCATATATTAAAAAAAAATCGCCTGTCACTTTCATGCTCAAAACAACGAGCAAAGTTGAGAAAACTTAAAATTTTTACCGCATGTGTCAGCCGTTTCCAAGAGTCTTTGTTTGTGTGTAATCCAGAACCAAAATTAGGCCATTTTGATAAGCTTTTTCCCTTTAAATGCAGCTTTTAATACTTAAAAACGACCATTGATCCTCGCGCCCTTGGCTGCTTATTGCTACTAGTAGGCTATCACTAATACCCTACTAGTAGCGTAGCCAATCAGAACGCACGAAACATGATAGCCTACTAGTAGGTTTATACTAAATCCGAATAGTCATGATATAACAGATCGTTCGAACAGATCGTTTAAGTTAAAGATGGAGCATTACCAAATTTGACAAAACATATTTGACCAATAAGTCTTGGAATGAACCTGATTAATATCGACAACAAAACTTTATAATCTCGCGAACGGTCTGTGCCAGTGTAGGTTGCGACGATAATAAGAAAGCTGTTGATAGGGACACAACTACCTAAGCACAGTTTCGACGTTTCGTGCGAAGGCCCTTCATCGGGAAGTTATAGTACAGAGACTCCAGGTTATATAGGTGTTTATGTTTTTAGCCCGCATAGCATTGGGCCGCCCGCGGCCGCGTCGGCGCGCCTGCTCTTAGGGCTACTATTTGTAATAGAAGGACGGAGACTTAACGCCCAAAATAGCCAAATCTTGCATAAGGCGCCCAAAACTTTCCTCGATTTTTTTACCTTAAATGCATTTCTTTCGAATTTAATTGATATTCCCGGCAAGAATGATAACATAAAACTCTCCAAGCAACAATGTTTTAATGAAAGTTAATTAAATCCGCTTCAAAATACGCGCAGGAACGACAAAATTCGGCCAAGATACATCCGTGGCATGTAGGTGCTGTGCAGTAAACAGGAAGTCGTTAAGCCACTAAAGCCAACTCGAGCCTGATTGGACAATGAATATGTTTGAAAATTCGTTTTATTCATATTAAAATGATTGCTTCATATTAAAATGATAATTTTATGGGGACTTTGAGAGTATTTTCCTCTACCTTACTCATTATGCGTGCACTTAAGTTATATACCTTGTTGTTTAGCAGACCACCTATCTAGATTAGCCCTTTATGGCTATTATAGGTGATTTTGCACATTATTTCACAGTAAATCTTTCTATCTTTCTTGTATTTTTTTTTCCAATTTTATGTGTGCATGCAAATATATTATTATTATTATTATTTCTGCATGTCTGCCGGACGGTTTTATTGCAGTTTCGGAATAAAGGAATACCGAATGGTTTTCCGTGCAACATTGCGTGATCCATGCACGCGGGATGTTGCGAGACTTTCGGAAAGCGTGAAAATAGACGAGCCGTAGGCGAGTGTATTTTTACGCTTTCCGAAAGTCGAGCAACATCCCAAGTGCACGGATCATGCTCTCCTGCACGGGAAAACCAGTTGGTAGTTGTTTTAGAAAATTACTACAGTGAAGCGACGGTTAACTTGATTAAAATTACTGATGAAATGTGCAGTCTCACAACAATCGTGAATTATAACCAATCGGAGAATCGCTACTCCACCCTATCCTGTGACGCTGTTGAAAACAACAACAAATGTGAACAGAATTTGATCGCAAATTCGCGAAAATAAACAGCAAAAATACAGAGACTTTTTCGATAAAATATACGAAATTTGAAATGGAAAACCCGCTAAACAGAGAACCAAAGTAGTTTTGAAGATTTTCGACCTGAATACTTGAAGATTGCGAAGCTTTTGAACTTTGAAGCGAAAGATGTTGTGCTTGCCATGGTCTGGTGAATTTCAACGCTACGCGTCTCAATAAATGCAAACTTACTTCAAAGTCGAAAGGTATCCTACAATGAAACTTTACAATGCGAGTATATTTGTAAAATTATGTGCAAGAATTTCTGTTCAGAATTTCCCATGCAGGACTGTCTTATCCTGCACGGCTGTGGACCAATCAAATTGCGTGTTTCACTGTAGTTATTACATAATACTTTTTCGGAATTATCGAGACTTTGACACTTGCTATATAATAGTGCACTTATTTACTGAGACCTCGGGAAAACAGCGTGTTTTGTGGCCCCCCTAGCCTAGGGGCTTCGCCTTGGGCAACAACGGCGGTCTCGGGGCCGCAAAACACGCTGTTTCCCGATGTCTCAGTAAATAAGTGATAAATGTAAATTTTCCAAATGATGACCGGGTTTTGATGGGAGGTGCGGGGACGCGCCCTGAGAATTGTTGCGCCTTCCTTAAAAGATCATGCACCTCACCTCTATGGATGAAAGTCACCATTCGACTCAAATAAAACAGCTGACTTAAAACGTGTTGGTTTAAGGTCTTCAATTTGTGATTAATTTCTTCTGTACAACTGACTGCGATATTTAGTCGATACCCTTTTAGTACAAACTTTGTATTGCAATACAATCATAATTCATCAATTCAATATCGTTTTGTTGACTTTAGAGAGGCACGTCGTGAACCGTAAAGCCCGGATCAAACAAGGATGAGGACTGAATGAGAGTTGGCAGTCACGCGATCTTGGTTAAGCTGTTCTTAATGCTTTCCCAACACTATCATGTATTCTATTTAAGTCAAAATATAGTTGGAACACTCATCAAACCTTCATTTTGTTAATCGAGAGCCTGAAAGTTGAAATGTCCAAGGCAACAATGTGTGACTATAGCAACTCTCGTCAACTCTTTTCCTTGTGTGTCCGGCGCCTAACACAGACTGCTTTGCCCAGCATTTACTCCAAAATTCGGCTATGTTCCAAACGGGCCTGAATGAATTACAATATATTAGACAACTTGAGGTTAATATGAAGAAGATTTTAATGTGTATTAAAATTGTTTTTACATAAAACCCCATGGATCAAGTAATGAAGCAAATTTTTGTTAGATGCAACTCAAACAATTAAAAACATTTGTTCGCTATATGCAGGTCATTTTCTTAGAGGGTTGTTTTCTTAGAGGAGATTTCAATGAAGCAAATTTTTGATCGATGCAATTCAAACAATTAAAAACATTTGTTCGCTATATGCGGGTCATTTTCTTAGAGGGTTGTTTTCTTTGGTACGTGGCATCTCGCACTCGTCTGAAGGTTCTGGTTTGCTCCGCCTTGAATACAATTTGTTTTCCGTTGTCTGAACATTGAGCTTTTCCAGGGAATAATTGGATACTTGTTGCTGAACTGCCAGAGGGAGAGGCTTGCACGTCTTCGAGAATGATTGCTTCAAGTTTCTTTACTTTCAACTCGGTCATCTGAACTCTAATTTTACTCTTGAGATTATTTCCAATGACTGCAAAGTTACCGAGTACTTCTCCACCTGCTGCAACACAACAGCCAACTGTCCACATTGATCTGGGAATTCGTATCTTGTTTTTAAGATAGTCAGACGTTTTTACTATTTTTTCCACTTTGTGGTCGCCGACCCGAGCCAACATAGTAACACCGGTGATTAAGTACAGATCTCCGCCGCTGTTTGGTCCACATTTATTTTTAGCGTATGTCCGTATGTACCCCTCATAATTGCTCCAGATGCCGCTGTTAAACGTACTATATTGTGGAACAGCATTCGTGTAGGTAAAAGTTGATTTAGCATGTTCCTCACTGAAGGAATAAATACCCACTGGGAGAAGATGGCCTTTATGAAAAGACTTTTGTTTGTCAAACATGGCGTCGTTTGCTTGCAGTGATATGTCTAGATGTGAAGAAGAAAATCATGTTTTATACGGCAGAGATAGGGCTTACTTGTGTACTTTACTCTGTAATTCTTTGCTTGAAGATTGCAAAACTGCATGAAACTTTAAGGTGGCTCCCTACAGTTTAAACATGATTCATATATAGATCAGCGTCATCCTCGCGACTCGCGCGTGGAAATTTCGTGACCAGGTAAATTCTTGAAACAAGCCGTGGGAAATTGTTATTGAGTTTTAATCCACAAAGAAAACGACAGTTTTTCATTATAATCCTAAATGTTTCAAAATCCAAAGTGTACGAATGTTGTTAACATGTTTTTAACCTATTTATTTATGTCCAGTATTGTCTTTTATATTAAAACGCTCAAAATTTTAAACAACAGTCAACAGTGTCACGGACTACAATGACATTTTAATGCTGTCACAAGGCCAGTGCTTCCACAACCGCCTAATGAAAAATCCTTAACTATCTCCAAAATTTCCTTTTTTTCCGAAAATTTCCTTGACAAAATTACTAAATTTTCATTAAAATTCCATGCAAAAATTCCAAATTATAATACATGTACAACTACAAAACAGTAAAATGTAGCCTTGCAAGCTTATTACTCCAACCTCGCCAAGTCCAGTGTACCACAAGGTATATTTGTGACCATAATTTGTGCACTATGCAGTCTATTTCGTTCTAGGAAAGTTCAGTAGTTATCCTCTAAGACCAGCACATCCCAGGGGGCCGGGGGCACGCTGTCCCGGAGATATTTCAATTTTTGAAGTCTGAAATGGCCATTTCCCGCGATTTCAAGGTGAAATGCATGCAAACAGAACAGCAAAAAAATTGTGTGCCAAAACTACTTTGAGGAGTGGAGAAGTTCTTGGGAATGCTCCTCGGAAATCTTTTTTAATATTTAGACACTCAGAAAGCCCTCAAATGGAAATAACATTTTGCATTCTTAGAATCCTAGATATTATTTGCAAGAAATTTTGCACATCAGAGAAAATTCTTGCAATTTCCTTCAATTTCTGTATTTTTCCTTGCCATTTCCTTGTATAAAATTTATTTCCTTGCATTTTCCTTGCAAAGACCAATATTTCGTTGTGGGATGGAAAAATTCTTGCAAGTGGAAGCACTGCTCAAGGCACTCTTGAACAGTCACCGAAACCTATGTAAGTCTTGTCAACAGAGGGGACTTCCGTCTACGCATGAGCGAGAAACGTATGCGTGGAGTGCACGTGAGCGCGAGTCGATCGCGTGACTGAATTCTAAAAACAAACACCAGATTTGTCAAAACTACTCGTGTTATGAAGTCATTTTCTTGTTTCTTTAGTGTTTCTACGCTCACAATTTTAGGCATTTCCGACTTAGAATTGTTTGCTTTGGAATAAGAACGTGAAAGTAGAAATAAAAACTTTGTTGCAGCAGTTCAATTTCGCCTTACAAATATATCTGTTTTATATGTATATCTTTTCCGAAGTGAGATATACAAGTGCAAATTGACCTTCTTTAAATTCGTACTTGCCCTATTTTTTACTCCATAAAAACTACTTTTATCCATGGAGAAACTATTTGACTTTAAAAATAAGCTGGAATTATGGACGTGATATAGGCTAGTTTCTTTGCAAACAGTGATTCAGTACTCGGTAGTGTACTTGTTGTATATGAAGAAAAGTCTAAAATGATTTCAACATCCATCAACAAAAAGGGATCGCGATTATTACTACTCGTTAGAAGATATACAATTAATTTAATTCGCTAAGAACCCGTTCTACAATATTATAAACTAGAAATCGGCCAACAAATTGTCATGAAATACTACAATTAAAATAGGGTCTCTGAACTACCAATTTCACCCAACGGTCAAGTTTCTCTGCAAAGATCGCCCCTTTGCCCAATTTTCATCGAGTGGATCATCGTGTTATCAAGTCAAGGATTATGTATACTTTAACATAAACGAATAAAAAATACTGTTGATAAAGGGTAGATTTTGAATAAAATACGAATATCTGTATACAAGATCTGAGTGTTATTATGAAGCACTCAATACTTTCAACAACAACATATTGCGCTTAATTGTTTACAAAATTAAAAATATTCACGCATTAAAGATAATTATGAAAATGTAGCTTGCATTACAAAGAATTGTTGGCTTAGGGACCGGTTATTATTTATGGCCGGGGTGGGGGCCGAAGAGAAAGTATAATGCAGCCATAGAAAATTATTACCCCACCTTTTTCGAAACAAAATTTCTAGCTACCCCACCGGTGGAATGCTAGAAAACAAATTTACCCCACCTAAACCTATTTTGTTGCAACGTCATTATAGGGTGCTTTGATCACAATGGCCAATATAATTAAAAGGGAATGGGATTGATTGGTAAACATACTTGTTTACCAGTATCCCTTAATGCCCCTTATTTCTTTGGCGTAATTAATTATAAAGCACATTGACAGTCATGTTGGGCATGCTATAGTTAGCATTGTGCCTTATTTAACAATTATTCGCCGAAGGCGAGGCTAGGTGATTATCGGTGAATAAAAACCGAGACGAAGTCGAGGTTTTTATTCACGATAATCACCGAGCCTGAGGTGAATAATTGTTTTAGTACTATAATTTCATAGGTGATTATTTAGAAAAAAATTAAAAATACACATTTCTTCGTCATTTAATTGACAAAACGGCTTCGGCCGCCATTTTGAGAATCGCTTAGGTGATTATCGCGTAATAATCACCTCAACAGCAGCCAATCAGCGTGAAGAATTTTGAATAATCACCTATATAATTATACTAATATGGGTTAGTCTACAATAGCTGTTATCGTAATTGAACACGTCTATGCTACGGACCAGCGGTATCTGCATTATTTTAACATCGAGGCGAGGCTATAGGGTCATGTTTTGTGTCTTTTGACCCTTTAGCCTCGTTTTCGTGCGTACTTCCACTGAGCTACCGCCGGTATGCCGCCGTGGCGTATTCAATTACGATAACAGCTATTGCAAGGTACTATATAAATAATTATAGTTATTATAGTTATAGTTAGAAATTTGTCTGTTGAAAATAAGACTTGTCATTTGTGTAGTTAATAAAAATAATATAATTTATGTTATAAGCCTTGGGGTGGGCCCGTAGGGAAATGCAAATGCATTAAAGGATTTTAACATTTCTGGACTGAGGATTCAGATGGAAGTTATATTGCTCACTCATATTAAGACATGTTATGAGGCCATGGGGGTTTGGATCAGTGAATGCTGAAGTCTTGGAAGTTGGCCATTTAATATTGGGATACTTCGCTAGTTTACTTCTCTAATTTTTACATACTTGTTAAATTGAAATATGATTGGGTTTTATAGTTTGTATTCAACGCTATTTTCCCTTTTCACGAGATAGTGCAATACTAGTCCCATAAACATATATTAACAACCACTGATATACATGTAAAGTCTGTGCAGCATATATTTCAAGATTAATTTTAAAACACTAACCGTATCGCACCACCCTATCTCTTTCCCACTTTAAAGTTTCACTGTATATACAATTTGGTTTCTTTCACATTCTGGCATTTCTTTAGTAATTAAAATGCAATTTTATTTTGAAACAGTCTCACAGAATCTACCCTGGATTCCAGAGCCTTCAGTAAGTTTCAATTTATTATTTACTGAAATTACTGAAGGCTCTGGAACCCAGAGTACACAGAATCCTATGATTGTAAATATCTAAATTCCAAAATTTCCTCTGAAATTCCTTTAAAATTTCCTTACTATACACAATCACATGTAATTATCACGGAATTTTAAAGGAATTCCTTAAGAATTCTCACGGAATTCTTAAAGTTTATGAAATCAATTATTACATTTTTAAAATAATTTAATTTGTGAACAACACAATTACGATACTAAAGTATATATGTCCCATGTGAGAATATGTGAATTTAGGAAATGATGTTCCTGTAAATTAATGGGGAAAAGTTGCTGTTATACAGTGTGAAGATAACTTGATATATCATCCGAATTCCAAGTATGATTATATATAAACAATTAAATTAATCTGTAAAGGGTAAATAGATTTCTCCTATTTTCTCGGTTTATCCATGTACATGTATACATGAATGGTCTACTAGTAAAGAAAAACAGCTAGTAGCCAAAGACTCAGAACAATGTTAGAGCTGAACATATTATGAACTAGCCATTGAAATGATACTGCGGATTCACGAGGGGCATGAGGCATTTTCAGGATTTGCTACCTGCTAGTTATACAGTATCAAGTGTGGATGCCCAAAAATTAAATCCTGAAAATTTAATAGACTCTATATATATTTTGAGATATTTAATAAGGGAATGCTTATATGGGGGCGAGCCTGGATGCCCGGACTTGGGGGCTACAGTAGCTCACTTTTCTGAGGCGAATTTTGGCCCAGCTTCAGCAAGATCTCGGGCTAAAGGGCGGGATCTCGCTTAGGTGGGCCTGTTCTTTACCCATATATACACAAGGTAAACTTTAATATGAATTAACAACAAAGGCAGGATCTCGCCAAAATTGGCCCAGCTTTGGTACCCATGTAGGGCTGGCTTGCACCATATAAGCAGCCCTTATGGAGTCTTTGGAGATTTTGTGTGTAAATGAATAAAATGACACCTTACAGTGGGTTGAGAGTGGGTGTTTCTCTCAACATTTTGGAAAGCAATACTATTTTATTTAAAAAATTAGAATAATCACATATTAAAATCTGTTTGTAGTATATTTTATATTGTGTGTGATTAAAATATGATTAATTTTTTTACCCCACCTCTGCATGCAAGGATTTTTTGGCCACCCCACCTAAAGCAAGTATTATTTTTCAGTTACCCCACCATTTTCTTTTCGGCCTCCACCCCTGCCACAAATAATGACCGGTTTCTTACCTAAGTTATACCTTACACGTCAATTAAAGTCAAGTAAAGCCCTTTCAAAGACGCGTGGCACATTAAACTACAGGTCACATGGCGGTAGAGAACTCGACGAAGTATTCAGTATATTTCATAGCCAGTTTAAACGCCGCTTGTACTATTCATGTGAATTATGATGCCCAACACACCGAGTAACAAAATTTACCACTTTGTTCGGCTGTTCCAAGTACACTTTTGACATACAAAGTCCGATCATTTCAGGTTCTTCGAAGCATCTGCTCAAAACAGTCCAACATAAATATCGCCACTCATCTTTTTCGTATGAAAATATAAGTTTTCCTTTCAATTGCTTTGCTTTAAAAACAGTCATTAGCTTGTTGAAGAGTTAGCCTGCAAGTTCCAACGAAAAAAAACCGGATGCTTTCAAAAACCAGTGAATCACAATGCTGTAAACTTCAACATCCTTAGAAATCGTACGCCAAACATCGAAAAGCAAAATTTGCGGGAAAAAGCTCACGAGCCCGCACTATTTTTATGCAGCGTCGACGGACGTCCCCTATGTTAGTCTTGTCATTCTACTCATTTCAGATGTACTGTTTTATCTTATGAACATAGTAAAATTATAATTAAGACAGTTACGAGTTGTTTTGTGGAAAAACAAGACTTCTAGTTTAAGGTTATACAGAACACCTTTGAGTGTTAATTTTGCCTAAATTTTTTTCACTGGTCTCCATGAAAGCATTAGACTGCTTCTACTTTCTGACCATGTTTGAACGAGAAATGTTGAAAACTCGCAGAGTAATTTAATAAAATACATTTCGGTTGAATAAGAAAAACATTGAAAATGTAATATTCAAAATCAATTTTCTCCCGAAGAATTTAACGGCAATTAGTAATTTTCAAACGAGTTGTTCTCCTGCGGGTTTTAACGAATTTTTCTCAAATTCTAACAGGACATAGCTAAAGACGTCAGTTTCAAAATTGTATTCGCCTTTTTTCTAATTTTGGATATTTCATTAATAAGGAGCAATTCACTCATACGATTCAGAAATATATTGGAGTCGTCAAAGAAATCGCCATATCAGCGGAACGACAAAATAAACAAAAATTTCCGAACACAATTTTTTAGAACAACTATTTTACTGTATAAAAATGATATTCAGTTTCATAAATATGTCTTAAAACCAGCAGGAACATAACTCAAAAGCGTAAAGGTACCGCGATTTAAGATTTTCCTGAATAATTCTTATATTATTTTATTGTTTGTCAATTTTACAACTTCACCACATTTTACATGCACTGGCTACATTTGGTGAAAATTTGATGAAAATCCGACTGATATTAAGCGCGCAGTAGCGATTTTCCGAAAAACGCCCAAAAGGGTGTTCTGTAACCTCATATAAGAAGCGCTGGATTATTTCAATGCATTGTAGTATTTCCATTTTTTTGAATTTTGAGCGTTATATTTATTTTCATCTTAAATAAATAGAAAAATGTCTGTTTGATCTTAATTTGTAAGCCAAAAGCTCAAAATGAATATTAAGCCCGGGTCAAACGAGGAGTTGAGAAACGAGAGTTTGCATTATTGAGAGTTACCTCAACTTTTTTGCCCCGTTCAAACGAGTTGCATGGGAGTTGATGAGAGTTAACTGAATAATACTGCGCGCGTTGCAAAGACTCTCATCAACTCTCATTAAAATTTGAACCAGTTCAAAGTTAATGAGAGTTGATAAAAATGCATGAGAGTCGATGAGAGTTGGCGGTCAAACGCGAGCGAGAGTGGCAATTCTCATTAACAAATAGATAACATTTTGCCTTTGTCTGTTCAGTTATATATGCACAGATAACGTCATAACGTGGTAAGAACAAACTGAAAGTGTCTCACGAGCCGCCGGACCGAGTGGGTCACTGATGTTCTTACCACGTTATGACGTCCACTGTGCATCTATAACTGAACAGACAAAATGTTATCTATTGGTTTTATAAAATAAAAAATACAGAAAATCAACCTTGTTTAGCGCGAAAATTGAAGTAAAAAGCTTCTGTCAAATTCCCGCCAAATTTCGGGGCATTGAAAACAACAAAACACGCCATCTGACGTTTCGATGATCTACAGTATACAAATCACGCAATATGATTGTTTGTGTGGATTATCGTGCGAATCATGGCTCTCGACCAATGAAATTGCGTGAAATATTCATATTCATAAATATTTGTTGCATAATCAACTCTTGTCAACTCTCATCCTCGATTGACCAGGGCTTCACTTTACTTTGCCACACGCGTTTCGTGTTGTTCACGCATGATATAGTACGCGCACGCGCAGATCGTGCTCATGTCGAATCGACTTTTTTCGCATTAGCGCCTGGTCGCGCCGATTTTAATGGTAATTTTCTCGTGTTTCCTTTCGTCAATTTTTTAAACTGTATATTGTGTCGTAAAAGGCAAGTGGTAAAACATATCTAACTTTCGAGAAATTCTACAAATAACTATTTCTATAACCGGCCTTCATGAATATCTCGAAAACGTATTTATAAATTTCCTTTAAATTTTGATATGTTATTCCTTTATAGATTTATAAATCTTTAAACAAATTTATGAAAAATTCACCGAAGGAAAATAAAGATATTGTCGATTTATTGTGAAATTAGACAATAAAAGTGCAAAAGATTAAACGACATATTTTCCATGGAAACACTAACACTATTGCTATTTGTCCATATATCAAAATCATAGATTGAATTCCTTTCTCGATCACTTGCGATAGCTGCACGGAATTGTCTAATATGTCTTATGATGGAGTACGCCTAAAATGGCTTGATGATCTGGAACGAATTGTATGTCAAGTTTGCGGCCTCGAAGGGAAATGGTCGTCACCTGGAGGCCAAACGAAAAAAATTACTAGCACGAATGCTGACTTGGTGCTCACTTGGTACAAAGGTAAACACAATACTCTGATTTTTCAAGGCAAGGACGGTGACTTAGTATGAGATAGGTGTATATTCGTTTGCAAGCAAGAGAGCCATCTTAAATCAAAGTCACAATTGCTTGAGTGTGATGAAACTAAACACTCTCAGTCAACCATATCGAGCGCGCCCAGTGGCCCTAATACCTGGTATAAGATTGTAAATACTGTCACTGATACTGTTGGCCTGGTTAAAAGTAAACTCCAAAAACAGATTAGTAATCATCACCGCTTGGCTCCTGTACTGATTAATAATTTCTCTCAGACGGATCAGATCCAATTGAGTAATATATTACTGCAGTTGTAGCTGTAGAGTTTTAGCCACCGAACTTGAAGGGGTAAAATTGGAATTAGTTATCGTGCAAATGAATTTTGAGAATAAGTTGGACTCCGTTATTAGCAGATTTGTAGACGGGCACACAAATATAAACCAACTTAAACATGATCTTTCTTGTGAAAAAGAAAAAAGTAATCACCTTCAATCGGATCTTACTTTGCTAGTAAGAGAAAGAAATATTGAGGTTGACGAACTTAATGAAACAATAGCTTCCCTTTAGGGTAAAATTAGTACTGTTGAAAAGATTGATGACCAACTGCGAGCCTCAAATATGTGCATAAATTTAGATACAGCGAACAATATTAAACCTAACCACATTTATGAGAAGTCCGTCTCCTTCAATTATAATTCATGTCGTACAAAGTTGGCAATTTCTAAACAAAGCCAAACAAGAACATCAAGATCACAACAACCGCACATTTAACGATCTTCAAGCTAAGTTACCGAGTTTAAAGACTCCAGAGCTTCTCTTCGGACAGAACCAAACTTATTTCCCTCACTAGATGTTAGCGGTACCAACGTTTCTTTTATGGCAGAGAATAATTGACAAAAGAGTTGTAACAATGCCGATTGTTACATACCTGTCATTGACAATCAACCTACTGCCTTATTGAGAATCACAACTGAACGTTCGCAACCGAGCGAAAATGATAGTTTATCACATAAAGGGTTTAAGAGCGGTTGTCTGTAATAGTCAGGTAAGGCGTGTAAAATAAGAAAATTCAAAATCCTTCAAACTTTGTCAGAATATAGGCCTATATAAAGTATTAATGTTGTGAAAGTTTTATTTCGATCGGATAAATATTGAAGGAGAGAGACGTCGAAATTGGTTTTCCCAGGCCACTTTCGGTTTTTAGAGGTCATTTTACGGCACTACCAAAATCGCTCTATTTTGCACGTTAATGGGAATATTTCACGAAATATGATTTCGTTTTATAAATTAGAGTTATTTATTGAGTAGCAGACGAAATTTAGAGACATTTCTGTAAAAAGTGAATATTTTACAGATTTTCTTAATATTTTTTATTTTTGAACCTCTTTATTATATGTCATATTAGGCAGCGAATATCTCCATTGTTACATCGAATCAGACAAAAAATTCATAACCAGGTCAAAGAAATATGTTTTTGCTTGCTATTGATCAAATAAAATTTTGGGGCAACGTAGAATTGAATTTTTGACGAATTTTTTCGTAACCCCTATTTGACCCGAATAACCGTATGTTATGTAATCAACGTCGAGTCATGTAGTTCTATAAATAACCAAAGAGCTCGTCAAAAGCGTTTACTTCTTCGAGTAAACAAGCCTAGGCCAATAAAACTACCTTAGCTAAAGCTGTACGATTGGCAGAAAGCATTTAGGTATAAATCACACTGTTTACAGTCGCTTATTGTTCAGGTAATGCCTATAATATATTGTATAGCCGGCGCCGCTGATTTGGCGGATTTGGTTTTAATTATATTTTATCGGGGATATGCCGCGATAAGTATAGCAAGTGTATTTTCTCTCCCCTTCCCATAAACATCTGTTCTTTCACGACTCGTCGTGCTTATAACTTTTCGAACATAAATAGTGCACGCGCTTTTTGTCAAAAACATCGGTCATTTTACGTTGAAATTGTAATTCGTTTACTTACAGTACTAGTTAATTTAATTAATATTAAAGCTGGATTCTTTCACCGTTATGTCATGCCAAAAGGTGTCTTTTCTATTTTTAAAAACGACCCGCTGTTGATTTATGATTTGGTAATATTTACTACAGTTGTATGTCTTGTATATTTGATTATTTTGTTGTTGCTCAATAACTTTAGTCAAACTTCAGACCAAACTTCTACGCACTGTTAGTTATTAACTGGCCATCACTTTTAAAACAGCAAGAAGATAAAGACAACGTGTACGTGTGAGTTATCCATGAAATAAATAGTTGGTTTACAAAATGAATTCCGTCTTCGTGAATAAAATTAATGAGTTATAAATAATCTCTCCTGTTTGTGTTAAGCTACCTGTAGGGATTTCCCCCGGTATATTTCTTCTCTTTTGTATGGCTGTTTGTGGTTACGCGTTATCTGACATATACTTTTGGTCCAATTTCAATTACATTTATCCAACCATTTCTGGATGATACATCTAGAACACTCAGGCAGTTCTCAGGCCAAAAAAGTCAACTTGAAAGGGGGCCGAACTTTCCCAGAGGCCGCCCCGGAATGCTGGAATTGCGCAACGTGTTCTAAAATTGAGGTCGAAAAAGGTCTGAAAAGTATTTTGAACCCCCCATTATCGCAAAAATAATTTTTGGAACGTTTTTCCCAAAAAAACGTCGCCCCACCCACCCACCCCCCTACCACCCTTTACATTTTACTGTAACATTTTTGCTTTACCAGAAAACATTTTGAGGGGGCCCCCGAAAAGGAAGGGGGCCGAATTTTTTAACCGGGGGAAATCCCTACATGTAGCATTTAACACATACAGGAGAGATTATTTATAACTAATTTTTATCCACAAAGACGGAATTCATTTTGTAAACCAACTATTTATTTCATGGATAACTCACCCGTATACGTTGTCTTTATCTTCTTGCTGTTTTAAAAGTGATGGGCAGTTAATTAATTGAACTACTAAATAAGCAACAGCGTAGAAGTTTGGTCTGAAGTTTGACTGTTTTCTCGGAACAAATTCAAACTTATTGAGCACTAACAAAATAATCAAATATACAACTGTAATTAATATTACCAAATCACAAATCAATATATAGAGCCGGGATCTTTTTTAAATTAATTTTAACAAATGGAAAAGACACCTTTTGGCATGACATCACGGTGAAAGAATCCAGCTTTAATATTAATTAAATTAAAACTCTTTGCGAGGTCGTCCTCGAGAGGTTGACGAATGACGGCTAGAAATTTCATATCTTCGGATCAGTACATGCTATGCCTATGAAGACAGAAATACCACCATTCGATTCAGAAATAAAAGATCAACTAATTCCGAACGATAGTTATAGTCATTATTAACATTGTAGCGATTTATGGGAGTTTGAAAGTCAAATGCGATCGTATACTATCAAATTACTTCGAGCCTCGAGCTCACAGCCGGACAAGAAATGGAAATACCGTGATAAAAGATGCAAATTTGAAGATACAGGCTTGCAAATAACACTCTAAATAGTGTTTTTGATGGGGGATTCGAACAAGACTATTACAAAGACGATATGTTTGAAGGGGTCGAAGTTATTTTCGGCGAAAGGCCTAGTATGGCTAGTCTATATTTTTGTTCAGACAATCGCGTGACCTACCCAACCGGAAATACGACTAAAAAAACGTCAGAACAATGCGACGTTTGCATCGTATGACCTTGCAAATGGCCTATGTTTTTTACAAAAAGCGTGTGCACTATTTATGTGAGAACACGAGTTTATGGGAGGGGGAGAGAAAATATACTCGCTATACTTTTCGCGGCATATCCCTGATAAAATATAATTGAAACCAAATCTGCCAAATCAGCGGCACCGGCTATCGAGTATCGGGCATTAGCTGAACAATAAGCGACTGTAAACAGTGTGATTTAGACCTAAATGCTTTCAGCCAATCGTACAGCTTTAGCTACGGTAGTTTTATAGGCCTAGGCTTGTTTACTCGAAGAAATAAACGCTTTTGACGAGCTGTTTGGTTATTTCTTGAACTACATGACTCGACGCTGATTATATTAACATACGGTTATTCCGGTCAAATAGGGGTTACGAAAAAATTCGTTAAAAATTCAATTCTAAGTTGCCCAAAAATTTTATTTGATCAATAGCAAGGGAAAACATATTTCTTTGATCTGGTTATGAATTTTTTGTCTGAATCGATGTAACAATGGAGATATTCGCTGCCTAATATGGCATATAATAAAGAGGTTCGAAAATAAAAAACATTAAGAAAATCTGTAAAATATTCACTTTTTACAGAAATGTCTCTAAATTTCGTCTGCTAATCAATAAATATCTCTAATTTATAAAACGAAATCATGTTTTGTGAAATATTCCCACTAACGTGCAAAATAGAGCGATTTTGGTAGTACCGTAAAATGACCTCTAAAAAGCGAAAGTGGCCTGGGAAAACCAATTTCGACGTCTCTCTCCTTCAATATTTATCCGATCGAAATAAAACTTTCACAACATTAATACTTTATATAGGCCTATATTCTGACAAAGTTTGAAGGATTATGAATTTTCTCATTTTACACGTCTTACCTGAATATTACAGACAACCGCTCTTAAAATGCTTTACTTTGTCTGTGTTATTTGAGATTAACTTAGTTTGTTCCGCTATAAAAAGATTTTCTGCGCTGGACTAGAGCTGCCATCGCGGCATGTCTTGAGTTGAGTTGACGCCTTGACGGCATGACATGTTCACTCTACTAAAGTATTAATATTTGTATTAAAAGTATGAAGTGTTGCATGTTCACTTGCTTATCGTTCAAGGTTTTAAATTTTGGGAATTCTTTGACTTTAATAGTTTAACTTATTCATATGATTTACTTTGCCAATATTTTCTCGTTGTCTGTTATTGTTTAAAAGGAAACGTACATACTAGCTCCGTTGCACGCATATATAAATATTTATATTATATTTATATTCTTTCACTTTTGATTTTATACGTTCGCTAATACAAACGGCATTCCACAAATTTAACAATCAGTAAGGTTGCTTTGTGCGTTACGAGAATAATCTACTTGTTTCTAATGAATAATCTATATGTTTGGGCTGCTTATTAGTCGGTGGGGCCACCTGTGGTGCCCACAGACTCTAGGTTTGCCCTTTGGTACGCCACAAAATGACAAATTACGTCATTTTAATTACGTAATTCTTACGAAATTAAAACCAAAATGGCGACCATGGAATGGCGTGCAAAAGTTCGCAATTAGTTGCAATTGATTATATTTGGTCCAGCCGTGTCTTTTCTTTCGGGGTTTTTGGAAGAAATATATTAAGAATTCACTAAAAGTTATTACGACGTTTTACTGTTATGTTATCGAGGAGGGAAGTGGATTTTTTTACCTAATTTTATATCAGTATTTAAAGTTTGTATCGCGCGACGGAGTGATATCGGGCGCGCAATTTTGATACTTTCTATATATGTACTATTGAATTTTCGAAATTTCCGGCGCGCAATTTCTAAACTTTCCAGTCAGTAATAATATTTTGGTCTTTTGGATCTACATAAATAAAACTCAAAGTCAGACATCGCCTGCTTCTTTCGAGTCTACATCCTATTCCTATCAAATAGCATTGAAGGATTATAAAGGTTCATTGGGACAAAATGTATATTTATTCCAAAAGCTGAAAAGGAGGAACTCAATTTCCTGATATCGTGTGGAGGTAACTTGGAATCTTTCTTGGCACAAGAACATATATTATTATTCCAGTTCGCCGCCTTAATTCATACTGCACATTGGTATGTAGATTAGTAATCATTAATAGATAATTATTAATAGTAATAATTATTAGTAATAATCATTAATAGTAATCATTAAGAGTTGACGAAGCTATCAGCTCTTTAACATTCCTTAGCGGGAAATATGATGAATAGAATGAGAAGGTTATAAAATTAGAAGAAAGCGATAAGGTTCTAAAATCTGAAAACACATTTTTACAACACGAACTTGTTAAGCTGGAGGAAGACAATAAAATCTTAAAAGATGTGCAAGATGAATTGAAGCAATATGGCCGACGTGAATGCCTCGAAATTAGTGGCATTTCTATTACCACTGATGAAGATACGAATGCTATTGTGATAAAATTGGCCTCAAAGATCGGAGTGCAAGTAAAGGAAGAAGATATTTTTGTGAGTCATCGACTTGCAAATACACAATCCAACAATTCTGCAAGTTCTGGTAATTATATGGCACCGGCCATTATTGTTAAATTTGTAAGACGTGACATAAGAGATAAACTATATTTAGCAAGATCAATGTTGAAGGATATTAGCACAAGAGACCTTGGCTATACCAGATACAGAGATTCTAAGATTTATATGGCAGAAAGTCTCACAAAGAAACGCAAAGAACTCTTTAAATCTTGTCTAAAAAAGAAACGAGACATGAAATATCGATATCTCTGGACTCGAAATGGTCGAATTTATTTACGAAAGGACAATGACAGCCCTGCTATTCTTGTTGATAATCTGCAGCTTTTGGAGAGACTACACAGATAAGTTATTATCTCTATGTATATCGTCTTCATGTGTGTCTATCATTCTTAACATTCATGGACTATTTTTCTATAATTGTTGTGTGTAAGATTGATATAAACTATGAGTGTGAATAATTTAAGACTTGATAATTTACCATGTTTTGATCTGGTGTCGGCTCTTACCAAAATACCATCTCTTAGATTAGCTGACATTGATCAACACTTACCTAGCCAAATTAACTTTAATTATTATTCTGGAGAAGAGTTCTTAAATAATCAAGATATTTTAGATTTATCAACCAAAAAATCTTTTGGAGTATTACATTGCAATATTAGAAGTCTTGCAGCTAATATTGATAAAGTTTCTCTTCTATTTAATGATCTTAAATACCCTTTTTCTGTTATTGGACTTACTGAAACTAGAATCAAACAACAGATAGATAGTTTAGTGAATATAAATCTGTGTGGATATACGTTTTTATCGCAATCCTCTATTACAAATGCAGGAGGAGTTGGTTTATTTGTGAAAGACGATTTGAGCTATGTTCCTAGAAATGATTTAAGTATCTCCAAAAATGAGTTTGAAGCACTGTGGATTGATATTGAAAGCAAAGGTCAAAATATAATCTGTAGTGTTTTATATAGACATCCGAAAGCAAATCTAGAAGTATTTACAAACTGCATTTACTCAATACTAGATAAAATTCAAAATGAAAACAAGTTATGTATCATTCCAGGAGATTTGAATATTAATTTATTAAATTATGAAACACATGTATCAACTAAAAATTTTGTTAACAGTATTGAGCTCATATTTTTCCACCCACAAATTATCCAACCTACAAGAATAACTGATCATACTGCAACTTTAATTAATTGACAATATTTTTATTAATTCACTTGACTACCACACTACAAGTGGAGATATTTTATCTGACTTATCGGATCATTTTCCAAATTTTTTAATAATTAATAAAAGTTTTAAAGTGAATGCGAAAACAAAAATTTATAAGAGAGATTACACTAATTTTAACAAAACTGCTCTTGTGGACGAAGTTACATCGATAAATTGGGATATAGTTCTGCCACAAACTAATGATGTGAATGAAATCTTTGACTGCTGTTATTCAAAGGTTTCAGAGGTGATTGATAATCATGTTCCTTTAAAGAAATTAACTAGAAAAGAGATTAAGTTTAGCTATAAGCCATGGATTTCCCCAGCATTAAAGTTATCTATTCAGGAAAAAAATAAATTATTCAAGAAGCATTTGAATAGTAATAGTACATATCATACATACAAATATAAAATATACCGAAACAAGCTAAGCAAGTTGTTAATAGTAAGCAAGAAAATGTATTATCATGACTATTTTAAGGAGAATTTCTCTAACCTAAAAAAGATCTGGACTGGAATAAGAGAAATAGTCAATATAAATGAAAAGAATACTCAAGGTATTCCAACTAAATTGATTAAAGATAATATAGAAGTTAGTGATACTAAACAAATGGCTGATGTATTTAATAAGTACTTTTCTAGAATAGGTATAAACACCGCAAACTCGACTGTTTCTAATAATAACCCTCTTGATTACATGAATTGTTCATTCCAGGAGAGTTTTTTCTTGTCCCCAGTAACTACATATGAGATAGAACTGGAAATCTCTAGAATAAATGTATCTAAAACTACAGGTCCTTTCAGCATTTATTTAATTTATTTATTTAACAAATTTTATTTGGATCGATATTCACAATTTTTAACAAACAAAAGAATATAACAGAACAAATACTACATTAAGTTAAAATAACCTAGATATCAAATGTAGATCCAAAAAGGTAAGGTACGAACGGGACTCTTATAAAAGGTCCCATGCAGGGCACCCACCTCCAAAATAGTAATCATGGTAACAAATAGAACATCGCGAACTCAAACTCGCTAAAGGATTCAGGCAAGCAAAAAATTAAATGGAATAGTTAAACTCGAAATTCAAAATAGTCACCGCTTCAGAGACTTTGAGTAAACGTGGCTCTATTTCCTAAAACTGGGCGTGTCAAGTAAACTAAGAGACAGATTGAACATGCATGTAAAGGTAAAGGCCAGCTTCCACACAGGAAGATCCTCCGCTGAACAGAAACGGCGGGAGAGCTTTCATTGTGTTAAATTCACGACGTCCACGTCATTCGTGTTGATTAAATTCATTTAGTTCGAAACCAGAGGTTCCAAACGAAATCTCGCAAAACAAACTGAAAACTTTCCAGTCCACCCCGATCCTGAAGACCCTCCCGAATGGAGACTAGCCTTTACATGATAGACAGAAACATATTACAGACAGAGACAGACAAATATACAAACACGACAAACTGACTTAACTGAGGGTCTGAATGGGGTTAACTGACTACAGACATTTGCCTGAATTTTTGACTGACAACTGACAAAATATCCTAACTGACTACTGAGAAATGATGAAAAAGATTATAAGTCAGCATTTTGCAGTAACTGACTACTGACAGCTTGCAATATATCGCACTGACAACTGACAATTGGCTTAAATTTTAGCTGACAACTGACACCCAAAGACCCCCATTAAAACCCTCTTAACTATTTCCTGTGGCAAGGACAGTCCCGTACCAGTGACCACGTACAAGATAACTCAACATCATAGACTGACTTAACAAGTTCGGTATATTTACATTTAAGATAGTTTTTAAAGGAGAGATCCATTCATTCCATCTAGTCTGTTGAAATCTTTGCACAGCTGTTTAGCCAAACCATTAGAGCTATTGTACAATTGTTCATTTTCTACAGGGACTGTACCAGATAAATTTAAAATTGCTCAGGTAATTCCTGTGTTTGAAAATGGTTCGCAAACCTGTGTTAATAACTATAGGCCCATTTCCCTATTGTCTGTATTTAATCGAATATTAGAGAAGTTAATGTACGGAAGATTGATAAAATATGTTGAGAATAAAAAGATATTATTTGAAAACCAATTTGGTTGTAGGTCAGGACACTCCACAACACAAGCAGTAACTCTTATCATAGATAAGATACAAAAAGCTATTGAGAATAAATGTTATTCTTGTGAAATTTTTCTAGATCTAAGCAAAGCTTTTGATACTGTAAATCACCTTATTTTAACTAAAAAATTAGAGTGCTATGGTGTTCGTCGAATAGTAAATGATTGGTTTAAATCATACTTGTCTAACAGAAAACAATTTGTTACTATTGGTGGTATTAATTCAGCTGAGGATAATATGATTTGTGGTGTACCCCAAGGTAGTGTGTTAGGGCTATATTGTTTCTTCTCTATATTAATGATTTCAAAAACTGTTCTGATTTATTTGAATTTCATATATTTGCGGACGATGCAAATCTATCTTGTGCAAATAAAAATTTATCGGAACTAGAAGTATTAGTAAATGTTCATTTGTTCAAGGTATCAGCATGGTTAGCTGCTAATAAATTGAGTTTGAACATTGAAAAAACAAATTTTGTTATATTTCGTAGCTCTCAAAAGAGAATCAGCTTTAGTCCTAACTTATATTTGAACCAGGTGGCTATCAAGGAAGAAAGTAGCATAAGGTATTTGGGAATTTATATTGATTGCAATTTAAATTGGAAAATACAAATACAAAACGTTTAAAAAAAAATTAAGAGAAATATAGGTATTTTATCTAAATTGCGTTATTATGTTTCAACTCAAGTGCTAACTCAACTATATTATTCACTAATATATCCATTTATTACATATGGATTGATATTGTGGGGTAACACATATGAATCAACTCTGAAACCATTAGTTTTACTGCAAAAACGGGCAATGCGGGTAATGACTTTTTCAAAATATGATGAACATACTAGTCCTCTTTTTAAAAATCTTGGCCTTTTGAAACTTTCAGATTTAATTATATTTTCAAATTTATTGTGTATGCATGACTTCTATACTAATAACCTTCCTGATGTTTTCGCCAATTTTTTCATGCTTTCAAGATTAGCATCTAAAAATACATATTGTATTCCTTCAATCAGAACTAATTATGGCAAGTTGTCAGGCATAGTACAAAACATGGACTGGACTGAACTGGACTGGACAGTTGGACTGGACTGGGCAGTTGGACTGGACTGGACAATTGGACTGGACTGGACTGATTTTTGATTTTCTCTATTCTTGACTTGCACGTCACCCGCCATGTCAGGTGGCATGGCACAAAAGAATATTTATCACATAATAGAAATACCATGTCTATTTTGTGATTTTATCGATGAACATTGTCTGGTGTGTACCAGGTACGGTGGAGATTGGTTGCAAGTCATTAATATAACGTTTTGCACCTGAATTACTTTCGGAATTCATTTTCGGAAATTGGAATACTTTACCTTCGCCGGTGACCTCACTTTATAACTGGAGTGAAATCTCTTAAAGCGAAAGAAACCCCAGTAGGTAGAATAGAATAGAATAGAATAGGTAGAATTAGAATAGAATAGAATAGGCAGTAATACCCCAGTAGGTAGAATAGAATAGAATAGAATACCAAACATAAACTATTTATCTGTCTTTGCTATGGGTAGCCTGCTCGCATACGTAATATATTTCGATAGTTCAGTCTGCATGGCCATGTGCGTAGGAAGATCGATATTTTGGGGGGCTCATATTCATATATTCGTGTTCTGCATCATTTACTTCTTTTGAAATTGATTGCTTTATGAACGTATGAATATGAGCCCCCCACCACCAAAAAAAAAAAATACCGATCTTCCTACGCCCATGGCCATGCAGACTGAAATATCGAAATTTAATACGTATGCGAGCAGGCTACCCATCGCAAAGACAGATAAGTAGTTTATGTCTGGTATTGTATTCTCTTCTACTTACTGGGGTTTCTTACAGAGATTTCACTCCAGTTATAAAGTGAGGTCATCGGCAATGGTAAAATATTTCAATTTCCGAAAATCAAAAGTAATTCAGGTGCAAAACGTTATATTCTTGACTTGCAACCAATCTCCTCCTGGTACACACCAGACAATGTTCCGATCGATAAAATCACAAAATAGACATGACGACATGGTATATCTATTCTGTGATAAAATATTCTTTTGTGCCATGCCATCTGACATGGTGGGTGACGTGCAAGTCAAGAATATTACCCGCAGGCGGAAAAACAAGCACGCTCTTCTTAGTGGTATCACGTGTAGTTAAAGTTGCATATTTCCATTGCCCCAGCGACTTAACGCTCCGTGGAGCGTCTTGTTTTTAAAATTTTACACAAGGCTGCCAAACAGTCTGAAGAGAGCTATTTTGGAAGTATGACAAACCCGGAAGTTTAAAAACGTCACAAAATAAAAAACCGGTTTTACAAGTTCTCAAACGGCAACGTCAGCATGGAAGAGAGATTTGTATCGCGTGCCACCAGAGGTTATCTTCGCCTCGCGTAAAATAAATACGAGCGGGAATAAGGCGAAAGATGCAGAACCTCTGGCAACCAGGATATAGCTCTAGCCGTAACTGCTGCATTTCTTAAAATACGAGTTAGTTGAATAAGTGTCCGTCAGTGGCGTAGCCAGCTCAACGATTTGGTCCCCACTTGCCAATTTCAATTTATTATTGTTATAGAAATTAATTGAGCTGATAGTTTATAAATATGGCAATATTTGCGTAGCGGGACTAAATCATCGGGCTGGCTCCGCCACTGGTGACGATAATGGTTGGTTAGGATGTTAATATGCATAAAGACACGACTTAAGAACAGTAAATATTTTTAGATTTTGGGGTTAGGAATAGGGTTTAGATTATGGAAAGGGTTCCAATAAGGGTTAGGATAAAGATTAAGATTAGGGTTATATTAGGAATAGAATAACGGTTATAGTTAATTTAGCGTTAGGTTTAGGGCTAGGGTTATGTTCAGAATGCAAAAGATAAATAGAGAAAATCACAAAATTCTAAAAAGGGTAACTTTTTCTAAAACGTGGCAAGTATAGACGTTAAAGCTACAGCAAATAATTTAGGTTCAGTTTCGCTATTTTTTGTCCTTTGTGATTGACTAAAAAAAGATTATTTTCTTTCGTAAGGAACTTCATACCTTTGCAGTTCTTTTTCCCAAACCCCTCATATCCGTCTTTACATTGACAATTGTATGATCCTTGAGTATTGATGCAAGTTGCATTTGGGTGGCAAGTGAAGTTTCCTTCATAGCATTCATCAATATCTGAAAACATAAAAAACATTAGAGGGTTCAAAGTTGGTCAAAATGCATGCACGTCAGCAGAATAAGTTTGATTTGGGCTGACGGAGGCGGCTAAACAGTGACTTGGACATTTGATTCGGACTCGGATTTGACTCGGTTAAAGAACAAACACCGAAATTGAATAAAATTCAAAGTCGAATAAATTTAGGGTGCGTTAGGAGTGGGGTTAAGGTTTGGAGTAGGGTTAGGATTAGAGTACTAGGTCATTGAACTACAAAGATCACTAAGCAGTGACTCATGCAGGCTCGAATTTGACTCGTAATCGGATTTGACTCGGTTAACCGGCAAACTTTCTATCGATAGTACCTGTACAAATCTTTCCATCCCCGGAATATCCAGTGAGACAGAAGCAGTTATATGAACCATTAGTATTACTGCATTTCGCATGAACATCACATAAATGGATGCGCTGTGAACATTCGTTGACATCTAAAAAACCAAAGTCAGTTATTTTTTTTTTAATCGTGGCTGCGAATTGACGTTGGAAATCGTTATGTATAACATCGCCTTAACCAAAGATGTCTTGATCAGGCAACATATTGAAAGTGTTGGTCTCATGACTAATCAATATACTACACCTTTTTCACACAACTCTCCTTCATATCCTTCCTTACATAGACAGTTGAAAGGTTTAACTGGATCCCAGATCATTGTTCCGCCATTATGACATTCATTCACTTCTCCTCTGCAAGATGCCTGCAAATTATCACATTCTGTGGTCACGAAAAACTAATAGTAACCATAGGGCTGGTGAAATAAATTTCTCAAGTTTATTAAGTACCTGAAAAGTGCATTCTTTACAAGAACATAATTAATGTTAGTAAATGGTAAGCTTGAATGTTAATTAATTTAAAACATTCATTAATAATTCATGTAGAAAAGACAAAGAAATCACTTTTATATGTGATAAATATTTTATATGTATAATTTAGCTTTGATTTTCTGGCCTTAGACAACTTTTATCTATATGTGGTTTTATTTAATATATATTTCACCTGTATTTAATAAGTCATTTAATTAAAGCGCTTGTAGTCGTGCTTTATCAGATATAAAACACTCGTGTTTTTTGTCTGATAAAGCTTTGGTCCGCGTGCAAATACTTACCATCATGCTTCTGTCTACATGGACCCTTCTAAACGTCCAAACCTTCTCCTTTTTACTGGAATGTTCGTCAAATGTTGGTTGAGTAGAATTAGTTAATTGGCAATTGTGTTCATTTCCTTCAACTTTCTCCTTGAAGTTAATCGCAGCACAGAAACGGTTTGCTGCACAACGAAGCCCACAAAGCGTATAAACACTTTCCGTATATTCAGCGATGATGTTTGTTTTTATTCTGGGCACATCTGCAAAACAGAAAATCTAATGCTAAAGCGTAATTATAGTAGATGGCACTCGGATATTCAATACCTTCGCCAGTAAATTAAAGCTATGTTTGCTTGAATTGCATCGGTTTTTGCTTCGTTCGCGAAACGTCACGGCCCATATGCAAATAGCTTATGCTTCGTCCTTCTATGGCTAATTCGTGTTTTCTTCTATATATTTACGAAAACCAAAAACATTGCACGCAGACGTCATTTGAAAGAGTGAGCGAACTATGCCTGTGAATTAGGTTAGAATAGAAAGTGTTTGTATTTTAGACACCATCTTGAATAACGAATTGAACGGAAAATTGCTACGATGGTGTTTACATTACAATGACAGCTTTCCAAAACCAGATTGGCACTACAAGCACCACTTGGAAGATTGCAGCGCTGCACCGGCGCTTCGTTGCAGAATTTGATACAATTACATCATTTCATATATAGGCGCCAGCCCTATCCAGTACAAAGGAGCACAGCAGTTATCTTTTCGAGACTTGTGTAACTGTAAAGGCGGATTTCCAGTCCTCACAAGAGCGCGCTGCGAGTGCTTGCATCATAAAAATTAACTGCTTAGCATTGTGATTGGATGCAAGAGCTCATGCATCACTCGCAGCGAGCTGCGAGGAGCTTCGTGCGTGGACTGGAAATCCTGTAAAATCCGTGAATAGGTAGTCTTTGTCTGCTTTGGTTTGCTATTTTGCATATAAAAACTAGAACACTGTTTTAAATATCATAACCACAGCCATAACTTTCGTGATATTTTCTTATAAATAATTTCGCCCTTTGATGCGCCTTCTGTGCAGGCTAATTTTCACATGGTCGTCTGCTGTATATAATTATTCTATACGCGCGAAAATTAAAATACATAATAGAGGGGAGTGAAACTGTGTGCATGTCCGTTAAAATTTTTCGACAGACGCTGTAGCAAATTTCTAGGCACAGTAACTGTTGCTAGGCACAGGCTACTTCTAAATATAATTATGGAATTATGCAATAGGCAATTCCACCTTTTAAGTTCATGCGTGCAAGGGGTGATGAGAAGTAAGGTATCATATTGCTGATTATGCTGAAAAATATAAATGGTGGCCGTGTAAACACGAAGTGATTGTATGTATTGTATTTAATTTCTTTTGAGAAGCTATCCTCATCAGCTATACGGCTGGTTTTCATGAGGGGCGTCTATTTAGCTATTTACAAGTATATAAAAATTAAGAAAAAAACTAATCAACCCACAGACCCAAAGAGAATATTATCCTGAAAATAATGTGTAGTTACAAATGCAATAACAATTAAAAGCAAGATTCAAATAAGAATTTTGAAACAATGAATCGAATGAGTAGATTTAACCTCAGCATAAAGACTATTCCACATTACAGCTCCACAATACCTAAAGCTTCTTTTAAGAAAGTTTTTCGTAGGTTTTGGAATTGAGAGATCTGTATCATAATTTCTGAGATGATAGTCATTATCATTATCATTATTGCTTCGTGCAGAAAAGAATTCTCGAAGACAGGGGGCAGTACCATTATTCAGTAAGAATGTTGCATACCAGGACCACTTTATTAAATCTAAATCTGTTTTCAAGATTTTTCCAGTTAAGCCGTTCAAGGAGCTCAGAGAAGTTTGTATCATAACTTGCTCCCGTCAACACCCTTGCAGCTCTAATTTGGAATCTCTGTAGTTTTTCTTTTAGTACAATTCCGCAATTATCCCACAAAGGGGAGCAATAATCAAAGTATGGCAGAATTAACGCCTATAGATGAGGTGCAGGGTTTCATTGGTGACAAATGGTTTTGTTCGTTTTAAAACTCCTATCCCTGCATCAACCTTTTTACAGATTGCATTAATGTGAACTTCCCAACTAAGGTGTTCATCCAACTCAACTCCTAAACATTTAAAAGATCTGTACAGTTTTAATGGTTTATTCTTAAAGGTCACTAATTTTGCTAGTTTTTTAGTAGTATGATGTTGCAGTTTGTTATCCGAGAGCCATCTACTAATATTTTTCAAATCAGAATTTAATAGTACCACCAGTTCATCATAATTATCAGACGAGGCAAATATCTGCGTATCATCAGCATATGTGACCTGTGATAGCTTATACTTGTAAATATTGCAATATTTCGGTTGTTTCGGTCAACATAATATCTCGGTCAACGGTTGTTTTGTCAGCATAATCAGCAATATGATACCTTACTTCCCATCACCCTCTGCGCGGTATTTAAAAGTATTTAAAAACAGTGTTTTAGTGTTTATATGCGATAATTTGCAAACCGAAGAAGACAAGGACCTCCTATTCACAGATATTACAGCATTCACAGGTACGCAAGTCCCAAAAAGAGTACTGCTGTGCTCCCTTCTCCGCAGGGGTTTTGCGTTGCTGCTCTAGCTATGAGCTTTCCCAAAGCCTTGCATCATGTCCAAGCCTTTTTCCTATTAACAAACTCCGTTCGGGCGAGAGAATTGAAGAAAGGGGGTGGGGGCTTTCGAGAAATGTTGAAAAAGCCGGGCCTGCTGAATATTAGCGGAAACCGTACATCACCGCTGTCGATAAAATATTCGTTTTTTAAAAGATTTTCGTCGCTGCATCCGCCATGACCTTTGAGAGATACAACAATGATAGATAGAACTAAAACGCAAGTTTTTATATTAATTTCGATTTTGTCTACCATACATTGTTCATAGTGGGACTGCTTGTCGTTCGACCAGAACCAGATGTTGTCGGAAATGTTGGCACACTTGGGGATGTCCTTAATGAGATTACTAAAGATTTCGTGGAAATACTCTCCGGAAGGTGATGCAACCATAATCAAGCGTGCGAATCGGTAGGGTTCATCATCGGGTGTTGAGAAGGCAGTGATGTACCATTCTGTTTGTCTACCATACATTGGTCCGAATTCACACAAAATCGAATGAATTTTGAGGAATGAAGCAGGTATAAAGGTATACCATTCCATCGAAAACAAATTGTTTCGAGCTCTTTGCACACATAAGGACAACGTAAATGAATCTCAGAAACCTGGTGTGTACCGCATTCCTTGTGAATGTGATCTGGTTTACATTAGTGAAACTGGTCGAATTCTCTCAGTACGTCTTAAAAAACACAAGACGAATTGCGAGAAAGCCGAGCAAGATAAATCTGCTGTGGCTAAACATACTTGGACTTACGACCATCGTATAAAATGGGACGAAGCAACCATTTTGACGATGGATAGTCATAAGTTCTCTCACAAAATGAGAGAGTCAATTGAAATCGAAAAGCACAATACTATAGATCAGGAGGGAAAGCCATTAGATAGTACGTGGCGTGCTCTCTTTAATTACGGGCGCCGTTTCCATTGACCTACGAAAAGCATTCGACACGGTAGATCACACAATCTTGCAGGAAAAATTAAAATTGATTGGATTCTCTACCTCTGTTCTTGTATGGTTTACATCATATCTATCGAATCGCACTCAAGTAACAACCATCAACAATTCAATGTCTACGCCTAAACCAGTTACTATTGGTGTTCCGCAGGGAAGTATTCTCGGACCTCTTCTCTTCCTAATTTACATTAATGACCTACCTGAATGCCTCAAACACTGCAAGTCGATACCCTATGCTGATGATACGCTTCTTTACTATTCTGCAGACAATATCTCAGAACTTCAGTCAAAACTCAACTCCGACCTTCAATCCCTCTCCACTTATCTGAACCACAACCTCCTAACACTCAATCATGACAAGACGAAATTTATAATCTTTGCTGGTAGACAACGTTTAAAAACAATCTCTAGCCTCAACATCACTATCTACGATCGAAAGATTAATCAAGATCACGCATTGGAATACCTGGGTATCACGATCAGTGAAAATCTCTCCTGGAATGAATATATCGAGAACTTGATGACAAGATCAATCAAAGACTTGGAATATTACGCCGAGTCAAATCATTACTACCATTAAATGCATGATTAATTTTCTATACAGCTACAATTCTACCGTTATTTGACTACGCAGACATTATTTGGGGTGACAAGAACAACACTGGACTCATGAACAGTTTGCAGACTTTGGAAAATAAAGCCGCTAAATTGATTCTAGATCTTCCTCCTTTCTCTTCAGCGACCGAAGCCCTCGCTACCCTTCATTCGTTACCTCTCTCCTCCCGCAGATATAAACATCGCTGTATCTTCATCTACAAATGTACTGATGGACTGTTAGATTTTGACTTTAAACTAACAACTAACAACTGTATTCATTCCTACAACACAAGATCCTGCAACAACCTTCATCTTCCAAAAGCCAACACGAACTGGGGTAAACTTAGACCGACTTACTACGCTTCGATGGACTTCAACAATTTGAACAGCTCAGTTGCAAACGTTAGTTCCCTGTCTCAATTTAAGACTCAATTAAATCTACTTCGTACTTAGACACAGTTATTGCATGCTTGATATATTTTAAATATATGTGTACAGTTTAGTTCGGGTATGCACCGTGTCTCTACCCTTAATTTAATTTTGAGCATTTTTATCTTAACTTCTGACTTGTGAATCGATTGATTCTTTCCTATCATTTGAAGCACGTTGCATGCTTACTGACTAAATTAAATTACATTTTTATGAATTATAAATTAATGGTCTATTTATCATCGTTGTAACGTGCACGTATATATTTGTATATTTTTGTACAATTTAAATATTGACAATAATTAATATTGTAAATAATTGTAATTCTGATGCAGGACCCCACTGAAAAACACGTAAGTGATGTGGGTATCCTGGATAAATATAATTATTATTATTATTATTATTATTATTATTAATGGGCAAAATTAATTTCTCTTGTCTTGAATGCGCGCGCGTTAATTGGAATCACTTCACTACGTTTGAAATGACGTGGTTGATGTGCCGTTTAATTAAATTTCAAATGACGCGAGCCAACAGATCACGACAATTTTGTACATAAAAAAGAGCGTGTGAATTAAACAAGTCACATATGATGAAGATCCGGGCTTACGGATCGAAAGCTTTGCAGTAATAAATTTACGTCGTGTTTCCACAAACAAAACGATTACACTAAATAGTGTTTTTCATAGAGATTCGAACAAGAATACTACGATGACGATATGTTCGAAGGGGCCGAAGTTATTTTCGGCAAAAGATATGGCTAGTCTATATTTTTGTTCAGACAATTGCGTAATTTGATAGTATATATGATCTCGTTTGACTTTCAAACGGCCCATAAATCGCTACAATGTTGACAATGACTATAATAACTCAACCTCGTTCCCAGGGTCTTTCTTTGAACGGCGCGAGGCGAAGGAAAGACCCTGGTTTCGGCTGGTCACGTGTCACCCAGATTCTGGGTGATAAATTAAAATGATACTATGGGCAGGGTGAGAGAGGAGCGTGTTTGTCGCGTTTGTAACAATATTTGCAATTTTGTGTGATGAAATTTAAATTTGCAACAAGAAATCGTGAAGAGAAATGCAATTAAAAATTAATATTTATCGTGATGTGAACTTTCTGCTCTATAATCTAGTGTCGAGTTACAATTCAAGCAAATTGGATCAGATTTCAACTTACAAAGAAAGCACGCCTGGGCGGCGTGGCAATAAGGCTACAAGAAAATTCATATCTCTAGACCGACCAATGTGGTTTATATTTATTTAACTGTTAGTATTAAAGTATATATACCTGGACCAAAAGAATATATTTATTGATGAGATGTGAAATTGGAACGGCGAAATAGCGAGATCTTTTGATATCCGAAATATCACCAAGACGCCAACTGTATCGATCGCGAGATTGTTGATTATAATAAAGGCCTTATCACAAAACTTAAATCCTGTCAAAAGACTATAAATTTTCCTGCAAGATCTCAACGATCATGATATATGTCAAAGTCTAGCTGTCTGTTGAAAATCTACGGTATTACAGTAATACATCAAAGATAAGTCAAACGACAGTACACAGTATTTGTCTTACTGTTTACTACTGTGTTTATACCACATTTATAAATTTTATAAACAGCTTTCGTTTTGACACAAGCTTTAATTTTCTGCTTTATATATATTCTTAATAATACAAGTGAGATTTAAATTTTTTGCTTTGTGAAATAGAATACCGTTATTTTTTAATGGGCATCTTGTATCGTCTCTATCATGATATCCAGGATTGCTTGTGTGTAAATAGCCTACATGGCTACATGTATCACTATACATGCCACTATCAAATAAATATAGAAATATAAATGAACTTATTGAACTAGAAATAAACAGACGATTGAGACACAATGAAAACTGTTAGTAGCCTTAGTAAAAGTAGAAAACTCGAAAATTTATGTGTATTCGTATGGCAGTCTGTGCGCGCTTGACACTGTAAATTTGTTACTAGATTATAGCACAGTTGTGTGTATATTAGGAAAACACTATCTGACCAAGAAAAAGGCTAAAGCCTTACTATAATTAATGAATACGAATTATGTACTAAATCCAAAATTTTAAAGATAAATCACTGACAGACATTTCTCTGTTTGGCTGGTATCAAATGTTTACATTTGCTGATATTGGGCTCTACTCTCTAGTCCTAGACAATACAATACAATACTGTTTCTTTTAAAAATCTTATAAACAAGACGTGCAAAGCATAGCAACGTTTACAAAAAAGGACAAATCTAATGCTTGTATAAAAAAGATAATATATGTAGAAATGGTGACCACTGAAAAGCCCATAAACGTTTGTTATAAAACCGCGCTCGAGTGTGAAGAGAGCATTGAATAATAATAACACGAGAGAGCACTGCGAGTAACGATTTGCTTGGTTTCTTGACTTGACTGTTGGCAAAAATATAAGAATGTTCTTGTAAATTCAAAGCAAATAAAATAAACAAAAATTAGCAAGTATTTTGAACTTACTGGTAATAGTTCGCAAAATTTATGTTTTTAACTGTTTGTAATTTGATACTTTCACCACACCCCCCTCGGGCAATCAATTTTGGACGAGGCACGTGACCAGCCGATGCCAGGGTCTTTCCTAAAGACCCTGGGAACGAGGTTGATAATAACTATCGTAAGGAATTAGTTGAATCTTTTATTTCTCAATCGAATTGTGGTATTTCTGTTTTCATAGCATGCACTGAACCGAAGATATGAAAACTCGAATCCGTCAACCACTAGAGGTTGACGCGACTGGGACGTACTGCAAAAGAGTTTTAATTAAAGTGCTACTGTGACGAAAATTGATCATCGAGAAAATTCCCCTTTTTGCCAGCAACCACTTTATTACTGTACCAAAAACGCTTGTGTAAAATTCCAGGCGTACATACTTAACGAGCGCGGAGCTATGAGCATTTGAAATGTACAAAATCGCTGTCCGCCATTAAAATCCGCCATCTTGATTTTATGTTTTCGCGAGAAGCTTGTGACGTCATAGTCTTAACACACCGCAAGGGCAAAAGTAGAATTAGTATTGCAAAGGCAGAGCATCGCAGATATTCAAGAACTAAAAATGTCAATTTCGTCGCGATCTAGCAATGTTTCAGACAGTGGCGTGCTGGGTACTATTTTTCTGGGGGGCCAGTGGGCTGTCAACCAATATGCGCCCCTATAATATTACACTTCATAAACGAGGGCCGAAGGCACGAGCCGAGCGCCGAAGTTGCGAGGTTTGTCTAGGGGGGTCCGGGGGCATGCCCCGCAGGAAAATTTTTGAATTTAGAGTCTCTGAAATGCCATTTCCTGGACTTCGGGGGACGATTTGACAGAAATCTGATGGTCAGGAAACAGCATTATAACGTGTCGACATTTGCAATTTGTACTTAAATTATGCAATGCTAACCACTTCCAATGATTAATCTAATCCCAATTATATTCTCTACTGATCTAGTGATCTGAATACATTTACAACTTACAGCTCTTTTATACAATAATACACGGACCCCACGCATATGCATTTTAAGGTTTCCTTGCCTGGCTGCCAAAAGGGCGCCTTTCAGCATTATTTCATTACTTACATTACTCATGATGTTTCTTGCGCAAACAACTAAATTGCGTACACAACTTTACATTATCATAACTTCAACTATCTAATTTGCGCCGCTCTCGTGAAGAAGAATAAAGGGCGTAATATAAGGGCATAATACCAGCAAAAAAGGGCATAATTCCCGTGATCGCTTCCAAACCTGACCAATATTTCGGTAATGAGACATTGCGTTTGATCACTGATCATGTTCCTATATAAATTATTTCGTGTGCGCCGTGAAGTAGCAAATTAGCAAATACGGCTTAATAGACAAAATAGTCGGTAATTTAATATATCACTTTGTCGTTTTCTTGGCGGAAGTAACTATATTTTTTCGAATGCGTTTTTTCCCACCCACTTTCAAAATTCGGCTCAGGATCTGCGCCCCCTTTTCATTTCTGCGCCCCCCAAGAATTGCCAGCTGGGGGGGGGCGTGGCCCCCCGGCCCCCCCTACCAGCACGCCACTGGTTTCAGAGTCTTCGTCTGATACAAATTCTTCTCAACTCATCTGTTTATATGACAGCGAATTCAGGTGAATCTGACAATGAATATTCGCCATTTTACGATACTATTGAGCCGCTTGCCTCGCCTGAAGAGGTAGCTGAGTACGAAGAAGCTGCAGCAGAAGAAGAACAGCTCGCAAATATGCAACAAGATCGTTTTGAAGGCCATGTTGATGTATTATCTTGGTAAGTTTGTGTTCTTATTTGCCGGAATAAAGAATTAAAATCTCTGAAATTAAAATCTCTGAACTTCTATTTTGCATTTCTTCATAAGGTGTGAATGTTGTCATTGTACGCTTGAATTTGTTGTTAAATCTGAAGAATGCCGATGTTGTATGGAAATAGACCAATGTCGACATAAAATGTACGAATATGAAGAAGATGAAAGTAACAGAAAGTGTATTCTTGATCACCCCGGATTTAACGAAGTTTGTATAAGTGAATTTGTTCTGAATGCAGCTTCGTTAGGTTTAAAAACCAAAGGGCATCGAAATTACGCTTCGGTCTTCAGAGAAGGTCAAAAGACAAGAGCAGAGTAAGACATTGATTGAGCAGAGTAAGACACAGCTCGTGCGTTTAGTACGGGATTTTACGGGGAGTTCAAGGCATCTCACATTACGTACCATGTTGGTGTGAAAATAAAATACGATCAACATTCCCAAACACTGACCAGCGAGCTTACACGGGGATTGAGGAAGACGAGGATATATAACAAGGTACAAACAAATATAATATATCAATGACTTATAAATAATCTAGAACCAAGAGTAAAGCACAAAGCTATAAATTAAAAAGTAAAATTATAGGTGAAATAAACAAGGTGTGGAAAGTGAAACGCGATATAAATTGTAGTTTACAATAAGTCTTTAGCCTGTGATCTGTGATAGTCACGCAACACTGAGAAGTGGATCATTTGGGGTGAAAAATGATTAACAACTGAATGATATCCCTCTAAACAGCTGGTTTGGGCG